TAAGGTCTAAAGGTTTCAATAAATCATGAATATGAATAATATATCAGAGATTTTATTCTTAATACTGTAATAGCAACCCCCCCCCCCCCCCTCCTTTCCCACAAACACACCTTTAAGCCTACCATCACGAAATATTTTCACAAATTGTCATTTTTGGCGTGTTAGGGCCGAATGTTTTTTTATATGTGAATTTATAATAAAAAAAAATACTCATTTTTGAAAAATATTGCCACAAGCCTGATACTTCTTCTATCACAAGTACATGTAACAACGAATAAAACAATCGCTTCAGAGATATTTTAACGGTTTATTTTCTTTTTAATTCATTGCTAAAGTCAAGATGTTAGAAATTTTTCATTGCATTGAGAAAGATAAAATTATATTTTGAGTACAATAAAAGGGTTTGTAACCTTCTTCACATATAATATCTTTAAGATACGAGTATATGCCTTTATGTGATTTTTTTTAAAATCATGCCTACCAACTAAACATTTCATAAACATGACGTAATAGTACTTTTTTTTTTCTTAGAAATCATAATTGAAAGATTCAGTTACATTGTAGTAAACGATGTCTCATCAAGCTATTATTTTATAAATAAACGTATTTTTAAGTTATCTAAAAATTGATTTGTATCTGCATCTAGAAAATTGTCATAAAGACACTAATAAATTACTTAAATTAATGCAAAAAAATGCAGAACATAATATTACATGTACAATACATAAATGAAATCTTTTTTGCAAAAAGGTAAACGTGATTTCATTTTGCCCCGTGATACTCTCCCGTATTTTATCCTTTTCTTAATTGTTTGTATTGAACGTTCTTCTTTTAATGATATTAATATTTTCTTCTATTCGTACGGTTAGAAATACGTTGAATTTTGCTACAACCCCCTCCCATTATTACGATTATATACATGGTTTAAAAACGTAAATTCCAACGACTTTTAATCGCAATCGTTGAATGAGTTTTATTGTTTGTGTTACTGAATCTAAGAATGAATTTATAAGAATAAAACAACATAGGAGTAAATGAAGAGAATAAATCAAAGTGAAATGTAATAAGCACGAATATAAACAGCTTATTGAGACAAAAGGGTTACATCATCCATCAGGTATAGTGCATTCATATAACCTATAGAATACATAAATAGGAAAAAGATGTGACGACCCCAGATTTTAAAGAGAGAAAAAAAGGGAAGGAGCGGTATTTCCCCCGAGCCTGTAATACCAAAGAATAGACAAGCAGACAGAATAAAAATGAAAGCAAAATATACAGACTTTTGCTTGTATTTTCCTTCCATCCTCCCTCCCCCCCCCCACCCCCGCTTCATGTATTTGTGATATCGAAATTTCTCTCTATAAGTTCGGTTAAAAGTTGAATTTCGCTAGAATAAATTTTCTTTCCCTGATTTCTATTACATTTAAATTGAATTCCGTCAGTAATTCTAGTGCAGTTTTTGATGAAATGACGTTTCTTTTTATGTTAGGTCTATATCCTTCAAGACACTCACAGACTTTGTTAAATGACATAATTTTTTTTCATTTATACGTCATAATCAAAAACAATTTCTATTTGGATGATTTTTAAAAACACGTTTTATTAATTAGAGCTTCTTTATTATAGGTATTTTATAAACAAAGGAAATGCCTACTTATACGCCCCGGAAGTGGTAGCGCATTGTATTGTGGGATATTCCCCTAATGTTAATAAATCTTTAATGAATTCTTAAAAATTTAATGATTCATTAAGTAATAAGACTCTAATAAAGGTTTTGTACAACACACTTTAATGACTTTATTAACTAATGTATCATTAGGAATTTAATAATCAATTAATAAACCGTTGATACAACCGGGTCCAGGAGCAGAAAAGAAGAATTTCAAAGAAATAATGCATTTTCACCAAATAACTATTTAGCCTCGCCCTAGCACTACAACCCCTGACCCTGGGGCCATGAATTTCACAATTTTGGTAGAGGACTCAATGCTGATAACAATCATACCAACAGTTTGACTGCTTGATGTCCAGGAGTAAAGAAGAAGATTTTTAAAGATTGCACTAAATTTAGTTGTTTTTGCCCCACCCCCAGGCCCCAGGGGGGCAGGGACCATGAAATTCACAATTTTTGTTGCCCTTCTTCCATGGATGCTATATGCCAAATTTGGTTGAAATTGGTTCAGTGGTTTCAGAGAAGAAGCTGAATATGTTCAAATGTTAACGCACGACGCACGACGAACGACGGACGCCGACGGACAAAAACGGATAGCAATAGGTCACCTGAGTTTACTCAGGTGACGTAAGAAAACTAATAGTATTATTCCTCCGAAATATGGCTGAAATATCGCCAACTAGGCGTTCAGCAATTAACATTCATATTCTTAAGGCTTTAAAAACGTTCAAACATGTATATACTAGGTGATTCAAATTATTAGAAATCAAAATAAAATTTAGTTATCATTTGCCTTGCTTTATGGTCTGTGTAAGGTTAATTCATCGAAGCACATTCATGTACAATTTACTATACGTGTTTGTTTGTTGTTTAACGTCCCTCTCGAGAATTTTTCATTCATAAGGAGAGCCCACCACTTGCCAGGAGAGAACTGCAAATTCTGAGCTAATCTCTCATAGGGTCATTGAGTAGTGACCTTTTTCGAGCCAGCATCTGTTGTAATACGGTCTCATCGAAGGACCGGTTTCTACATCCCGCAATGGGATTGGAACCCGCGACGAAAGGAGCAACTCCTTACTAGGCGATTCTGTTACGTCATAATTGTTTACCCCCTCCAATAAAAACAACATTTTATTACTTTATCTTAAGGTTACATGTACTTGTAGGTGCCAAAAAAGTTATAAAATTTTTCGGCAGCTACAGGTAACACTGGAAGAAAAAAAAATGCAGGTAAATAACAACACTGTAGTACAGCAAAAAAGAATTCGAAGACAACATTTTAACACGAGCAATCTGGCAAATCAGCAACTTGAACTTATAGTTTCAATTTTAAAAAGAAACATATTTGCATGAACACTTTTTAATATTAAATTCTACAATGATTGATACACTTGAAAAGAAATAATTACAAAAAAACTAGGAATACAAAGACAAATAAGATACACATGTTTTCTTACAGTTATACTGTAGATTTTTGATCGATGGAATACAGGTAAATGTATCCCTCTTTTCTGCTTGTCTCTGCCTTGATTTTAATGTCATAATCCTCGGATTTGCGCTGATTTTAATAAAACTAGTTGTAAGGCCTAAAAAAAAATTAAAAAATCAGGCATGTATATACATATGTAGAATAAAAATCTTGCAATGCAGATAAATTAGACCAAGGAGAATGCAATGTAGATTCCCATTATTGCTAAAATAAATCAGTTATCATTTGACAACTTCGTGGTTAGTGCTAGATAAATTTATCGAAACGCAAACAGTTTTTCTTAACTACTGTAGTTGTTGTCCAGTATGTAAATAATGGGAGTGTTGGTCATCAGATATAAACCTAAAACATTTCATCGCTTCTAGGCGGTCAGACGCGTAGAACGGTTCATAATCCAGCATCACCATCAGTTTTCGGCTGATAATCTTTACTTCTTACATTTGAAATTCTTAGGTAACGCGACATTAATCACTCACACAACACATAAACCTGACACAGAAAAACAACTTTTTTTCAAGCAAAACCTCTTATCCTTGGTATAAAATTCTTGTTCGTTTGTTTTTTCTTTTGTTTATTTTTATTTATTTTATTTATTTTTTTGGGGGGGGGGGTTCCCAGATAATTTTGCTTTAAATACAACAATGAACAGAGAACACAATCACAAACTCGTACAAAACTGAGAAGATGCCGCAATGTTTCAAAGATTTCCGGCTTATTAGATATGATATGGTCCGTAACTTTGGGTGTAATTCGATGGAGAAAACATTATTCCTTTCAATTTCATCAGCCTATGTTACTGTTATTCTGAATTACGTATGAACCGTAAGAAAAAGGCTCTAAGGCTTCTTCTTGAAAATTGTAATGTAGAAGTAGTGGTAACTAGTTCGGGTTTTTTTTTTTATATTTCAGCGTTTTTATTTACAATTATGGAGCATTCAGAGTACTGAACACTCACAACTATGTAAATACTCTAGATATGTGCGAAATATCAAACTCCGAAGAAGTGTTTTTACCTCATCAAACTTTCTACATACTAGGCAATGCGCGAAAATACATAAATTGAGTGGTTTTATGCCAACCATTAACTTAGCAATAACATTTATTCCTTTCCGGGTGTCAAATCATTCAGGTTAGTTTGAAAACAGTCATTAAATCTTTGTTTTTCAAAATGCTTGTTAATAGATTATTTTACTCAATTTTAACTTGTCTAAAATAAGGACATTCTTGTGATATAAGCCATTAAAAAATCAATCACCTGGGGAGGGTTTTGAAATGTATTGGACCATATTACTTTAAAGTACTTGCTTTGATATTTATTCACGCAAAAAGAAAAAAAAACTTCTTCTTAAAGAACGTGTTTCAATACTTTACTAGGTTATTTTTCTACTGTAGAAGTACTTTTTTCCACGTGGTATTATTTATGCTATGTACGCGGTCACAAATTTTCCGCGGATATGTCCAAACGTACTTGATATAAATGCAAAGCATACTGTAAATGTATTACAATTGGCGTATACGATATTTGGCGGAAATTCAATTTTCAACAAGTTAGCGTATATTTGATTAAGTGCTGTCTGAAGTTGCTAGTTATAAAAGTTAATATACAAGACATTTAGCGATGTACTTGAATTAGCGGACTCTGCTTTCCGCCAAAATTGCTAAAAAGAATACATCGCTAAATGTAATACGTTTACAGTATAGTGATAGCATGAGAAATCCGCGAAATTTTTTAACCGCGGATTCAAGTGAAATTGAAATTCCTCGGAATTATTACCCCATGGAAAAAAGTACGTCTACAGTATTCAAATCACTGGATCTATTCACAAACGACACGATCTATTTTGTAGTATAACTATCCGTATTCTTCTCCTTCTGTTCAAGCCTGCGCGACAAAGATTTGAGATTCAGAGGTAAACCAAAGGCCATGTAGATAAAAACGCCATGACCGCCATTGAAAAGCGTATGCAACATAGAAAATAATTGTAATTCAGTGAACTGCGCCAGAAAGCCAAACAACCAGGCAACACCAACGAGGGTAGAAAGCCGGAAGTATGCACTTAATCTACTCTTATCCTTTGACTTTCGGATGTCGGCCTTGACACAGATCCTAGATAAGGTCACCAGAAACATAAAAGAATTGATACAGATGAATAAACCAACTGGAAGTGTAAAAGTAAAGAGGGTCATCTTTGGATCAGCAATGTAGCAGGTACTAGGAGAGTAACCGAGGCTCAACCAATCACTTTGGACAGAGCTTACAATGACATTCAAAGCAACTATTGCCAAACATAGAACGGCATCAATCAGTAAGAAAACTAATACCCGTGTACTGTCTTTCTTCTGTACAGTTGATATAGTCGTAAACGTTTGAAAGATTTGAAAGGTAGATAAGCTCATCCAACATATGACAGAGAGCCAGAGGAAATGAACCAGCATGCCCATCCCAATGCACAATGACTCATTCCAAAGAAAAAACTTAGAGAAAGTGTACCCAGTGTTTGCAAAAATTGACAAAACAGCTAAAGTAATGATGTTCATATCTGCGACTGACCTGTGAGATTTATTTAGAAACAAGAGGCCCAGGGGCCACATCGCTCACCTGAGAAATTGGCTAGGATATATATATACCTACCTTTGGGGGTCATGATTTGAACAAATTTGAATCTACACTACCTGAGGATGATCCCACATGAGTTTCATCTTTCCTGGCCCAGTGGTACTTGAGAAGAAGATTTTTAAATATTTTTCCTATATATTCCTATGTAAAACTTTGATCGGCCATTTTGGCCCCACCCTTCCCCCGGGGGTCATAATTTGAACAATTTAGAATCTACATTATACCAGGATGCTTCCACATAAGTTTCATCTTTCCTGGCCCAGTGGTTCTTGAGAAGAAGATTTTTAAAGATTTTTCCTATATATTCCTATGTAAAACTTTGATCGGCCATTTTGGCCCCACCCTTCCCCCGGGGGTCATGATTTGAACAAACTTGAATCTACACTACCTGAGGATGATTCCACATGAGTTTAATCTTTCCTGGCCCAGTGGTTCTTGAGAAGAAGATTTTTTAAAAATGTCATTAATTTTTCTCTAATTCATAATTATCTCCCCTTGGAAAAGGGCCTGGCCCTTCATTTGAACAAACTTGAATCCCCTTTACCCAAGGATACTTTGTATAAAGTTTGGTTGAAATTGGCCCAGTGGTTCTTGAGAAGAAGATGAAAATGTGAAAAGTTTACGACGACAACAACGACAACGACAACAACAACAACGACAACGGCGACAGACAACGGACAAATTTTGATCAGAAAAGCTCACTTGAGCCTTCGGCTCAGGTGAGCTAAAAACGTTAGTATAGTAACCAAGGAAGCAATGGAAGAAAGAGAGAGACAGGCAAGAGAAAAATACTTCATTAAGAGGTCTTCTGAAAATTCCCTTTGACTGTTTTCCTGGCTGATAACTTTAAGATACTGGTCGAGACATATTTCTACACTACGCTTATCTT